GAAGAATGAAACCGGACCATTTCCTTACACCACACACAAAAATAGACTCAAAATGGATGAAAGACCTCAGCACGAGACAGGAATCCATCAAAATCCTTGAGGAGAACACAGGCAGCAACCTCTTCACCCTCAGCCGCAGCAACTTCTTCCTAGAAACATCACCAAAGGCAAGGGAAGCAAGGGCAAAAATGAACTATTGGGACTTCCATCAAGATCAAAAGCTGTTGCACAGCAAAGGAAACAGTTAACAAAACAAAAGACTACTGACAGAATGAGAGAAGATATTTGCAAATGACATATCAGATAAAGGACTAGTATCCAAAATCTATAAAAAACTTACCAAACTCAACACCCAAAGAACAAATAATCCAATCAAGAAATGGGCAAAGGACATGAACAGACATTTCTGCAAAGAAGACATCCAGATGGCCAACAGACACATGAAAAAGTGCTCCACGTCACTTGGCATCAGGGAAATACAAATCAAAACCACAATGAGATACCACCTCACACCAGTCAGAATGGCTAAAATTAACAAGCCAGGAAACAACAGATGCTGGCGAGGATGCAGAGAAAGGGGAACCCTCCTACACTGTTGGTGGGAATGCAAGCTGGTGTAGCCTCTCTGGAAAACAGCATGGAGGTTCCTCAAAAAGTTGAAAATAGAGCTACCCTACAACCCAGCAATCACACTGCTGGGTATTTACCCTAAAGCTACAAATGTAGTGATCCAAAGGGGCACATGCACCTGAATATTTATAGCAGCAATGTCCACAATAGCCAAACTATGGGAAGAACCTAGATGTCCATCAACAGATGAATGGATAAAGAAGATGTGGTATATATATACAATGGAATACTATGCAGCCATCAAAAGAAATGAAATCTTGAATTTGCAACGATGTGGATGGAACTGGAGGGTATTATGCTGAGTAAAGTAAGTCAATCAGAGAAAGACAATTATAATATGATCTCCCTGATATGAGGAATTTGAGAGGCAGAGTGGGGAGTTTGGGGGTTAGGGAAGGAAAAAATGAAACAAGATGGGATCAGGAGGAAGACATACCGTAAGAAACTCTTAATCTCACGAAACAAACTGAGGGTTGCTGCAGGGAGAGGAGAGGGTGGAGAGGGTGGTTGGGTTATGGACATTGGGGAGGGTATGTGATATGGTGAGTGCTGTGAAGTGTGTAAGCCTAACGGTTCACAGACCCTGCCTTTGGCTCGGGTCATGGTCTCAGGGTCCTGGGATCGGGCCCCGCGTGGGGCTCTCCGCTCGGCGGGGAGCCTGCTTCCCCCTCTCTCTCTGCCTGCCTCTCTGCTTACTTGTGATCTCTCTCTCTCTCTCTCTCTCTGTGTCAAATAAATAAATAATCTTTAAAAAAAATAATAATAATTTAAAAACAAAAGAAAAAAACCAAAAAGCCAGGTGTGTTTTTCCATGTTTTAAAAGACATTTTCTAATATTTATATTTCATTATTGTAACTAATGTAATATTATACATACATTTTACAGTTTTTTTAAACGTTCTTATAAAAGTAATACCCTGCTTGTCATAAAACATTAAAACAGGATGAGAGTATAAAATTCGAAGTTCCACATTCCCTAATCCCAGAAATAATTGTTGATAGTTTAGTGTGTGCCTTCTAGATGTTTTCTTTGCCTGTGTGTCTGTGTATGTATATATGTATATATTCTTTTATATATTTTGTATTTTACCCAAATAAGTTTAGACACATACTTTTATGCATCCTCACCTGTTTTTTTTAATTCCTTTTATTGCAGAAATGTACAAGCACACACAAAAATAAGCTAATGGGATAAACCCCCATTCATCATCTAGTTCCAACAACCTCCACCTTCCCTGTTCTTAGTCTTTTCTCTCCATTTTCACTTCTCCCCCTGGAGTATTTTTTTTTTTTTTAATTTATTTGACAGACAGAGATCACAAGTAGGCAGAGAGGCAGGCAGAGAGAGAGAGAGGAGGAAGCAGGCTCCCCGCAGAGCAGAGAGCCCGATGCGGGACTCGATCCCAGGACCCCGAGATCATGACCTGAGCCGAAGGCAGAGGCTCAACCCACTGAGCCACCCAGGCGCCCTTTTTTTTTTTTTTTTAAAGAATTTATTTATTTATTTCACAGAGATCACAAGTAGGCAGAGAAAGAGGAGGAAGCAGGCTCCCCGCAGAGCAGAGAGCCCGACTTGGGGCTGGATCCCAGGACTCTGAGATCATGACCTGAGCCGAAGGCAGAGGCTTTAACCCACGGAGCCACCCAGGCGCCCCTCCCCCTGGAGTATTTTAAAGCAAATCCCAAACATCATTCCTTCATAAATATTTACATATATATTTCTTGGGGTGCCTGGTGGCTCAGTTGGTTAACCGTTTGCCTTTGGCTCAGGTCATGATGCTGGGGTCCTGGGATTGAGCCCCGCATCGGGCTCCCTGCTCAGAAGGGAGCCTGCTTCTCCCTCGCCCTCTGCCCCTCCTTCCTGCTTGTGCTCTCTCTCTCTCTCTCTCTCTCTTAAATAAATAAATAAAATCTTTTAAAAAAAATATATTTCTAGCAGGTGAGTATTTCTTAAATTGTGCAATACCATTGTCATACTCAATAAAATTAACAGTAATTCCTCAAGATCAACTAATACCCAGACTAAATCTAATTTTAACAGTCATCTCGCAAGTGTCTTTTTACAGGTGGTTGTTTTGAACCTGGTTCCGGTGAGATCCTCACACTTTCAGTGGTCGATATATCTCAAGTCTCAATTTAGAACTCCACATCCCACTATTTAGTTTTTAAGAACTTGGATTATTTGTCTTTGAAAGATCCTGCATTCTGGAGTTGTTAAAGACGTCCTTCTATGCCCCGTATTTTCTGTAAATGGGTAATTTATTTTGGAGACATCATTAGAGTCTGTGGGTTTTTTTTTTTTTTTTAAGATTTTATTTATTTATTTGATAGAGATCACAAGTAGGCAGAGAGGCAGGCAGAGAGAGAGACGGGGAAGGAGGCTCCCTACTGAGCAGAGAGCCCGATGTGGAGCTCGATCCCAGGACCCTGAGATCATGACCTGAGCCTAAGGCAGAGGCCTTAAGCCGCTGAGCACCCAGGCGCCCCTAGAGTCCATGTTTTAAGAGTGCTTTATTGTTGGTGATATATACTTCCTATTGCATCACATCAGGAGACTATCATTAAGATTGATCAGTGAACCTGACTTTATGATTGTCTTTCCACTTCTGTATACACGGTCCTTAATGTTAAAGGTTTTATTTATTTATTTGAGAGAGAGTGAGAGAGAGAGATCATGGACAACAGGGAAAGGTAGAGGGAGAAGCAGATTCCCTACTGACCAGGGAGCCTGATGAGGGACTTGATCCTGGGACCCTGGGATCATGACCTGAGCTAAAGACAGATGATTAACTGACTGAGCCACCCAGGTACCCACACAGTCCTTAATTTTAAAAGATAAACATATTTTAAAGAAGCTCGCACAGGTTAGGACTTGAGCTGGAATGACATGTGAAGGCCATAACATGGCCCTCAGAAGCAGCCTCTATCCTAAGAAGAAGAGAACAGTTGTATGTGGAGAGGAAGAAGCACTGGGTCAGGGAGAAGGTCTTGGAGCTGAGGCCATTGAGGCACTGGTGCTGCCAGCAGCCAGCTGCCCTTCAGGGATATTATGTAAAATGATGTAACTGAGTGAAAAAGTGGCAATGAGCCGGTCTCCTCTCCCTGCCCAAGTCACAGAGCTGCTGTGGTGGTGAGGGATGCTTGTGAGTCCAGAGTTCTGAGTTGGTGGTGTGTAGGAAGGCTTGTTGGTCTGAGAAGACTGGCTTTTTGGTCCTTCACATCTTCAAACTTTGGAAGCTGAAATCAGAGCGGTCTTTTGGCACCCCAGTGGTGAGTCCCACACTTACGGTAGGGGCTGCCCACTTTGGAAAGAGCTGATGAGATGACCTGGAGTAGCACAGTATCAGAGCTAGAAGGAGACTACTAGGAGACAGTTTACAGATGAGGAAACTGTGGCCCACAGAGGAGAAGGGAGGTTCTTAAAACATCTGCCAAGCTGGAGGCTCATCTCAAGCCAGCATCCCAGCTGGTGGTTCTCTGGCTGTGATAACCAGCCAGCACTTCCCGCTTAGAATTTCTAAGATGGTGGGGATGGCCCGACCAAGCTCTTCACAGATTCTTAATCTGCACCCAGAATTTCTGGGTGTCCTTGGTGTTGGTCTTGTCTACATTCTTGTTCAGTTCCTGGCACGTTCTTTGATTTGGAGGCAGTATTGAATAGCAGTCTGTTTCTCTCACCATTTGGTGGCCAGCTTGATCTGTGGCGGTGTGGTAGTTTGAATACAGACCGGGTGTCATGAGTTCCCAGTCTCAGCTCCACATTAGTCAGTTAGAGGAGAGGTCTTGGGCTGCAGTTTTCTGAAGAAACTGGCCCAGATCAAGTTTGCCTAAAGCATTATATGAATGTGCCACATGATTCTGTGGGAGGATAAACAGCTTTTCTGTCATTATGTATTTGTATTTATTTTTCACTTACGATAACTAATAACTGGTTTTTTATGTATAGCAGTGACATAACCCTTCTGGTCTAAGCAGATTCACCTGCCAGTATAGAGGCAGTCCAGAGTTAGAGGACAAGTCTGTGAACATTTAGTTTTATTGAGCACATATTACCTGGGTTGGTTATCCTGGGAGAGTGTAAAGACATGTGAGAAAGGGTCTCAGTTCCTTTGGAGAGCCATCTGCATGGAGGATGTTCTGTTTTTGTGCAGTATGTTTTGCGTGGTACTCTCTAGGCTATTCATGAAAGTTTTTGAGTCATTGTTCTCTGGGTAGTGCCCCATGAGTATCATCCTCTGCAGCCTCTGCAGAGTCTGTGTAAAGGTTCAGTCATCTGAACTTCTGGAGTTGAGAGAAGATTAGGGTATTGCCATGGAAGCTGGGGAGAGTGGTCTGCAGAAATGGATAATCAAGGCCTCTCTGCCTTTCAGGATTTTCCTAGGGAGAATCTTCAGTCAGTTTGCTGACAGCCAAGGATGGCGAGCAAGGGGCCCTCAGCCTCTGCCTCCCCTGAGAACTCCAGTGCAGGGGGACCCAGCGGTAGCAGCAATGGTGCTGGCGAGAGTGGAGGGCAGGACAGCACCTTCGAGTGCAACATCTGCCTGGACACAGCCAAGGACGCTGTCATCAGCCTGTGTGGCCACCTCTTCTGGTCAGTACCCCTGCGACCACCCCCAGAAGACACATGGCCATGTTTAGAAAGCCTGTGGCTTGGGCAGCTTTGGAACAGGTGGTTTCCCACCCACTTTGGGTCTCCTGATACGATCAGGTCCAAGAAGCAGAAGCCCTGGGTTCTTATCCCAGTTCTGCTGCTGATAAGCTGAGTGATCTTGGGCAAATCCTGTCCCCACTCTGGACTCTGTACCCCCACCTCTAACGTGAAAATACTTACCAGTTAGTGAGCAATTACGATGTGCCACTTGCTGTGCTGAGTGAAGAGGCACTATGTACAGTGGTTATACTGTAGTATACCATTCAGCAAGGACAGTGGAGCCAGACTTCCTTGTTCTGAATCCTGACTCTGCCACTTCCATCCTGGATGACCTTGGGCAAGGTGCTTATATACACTCTGTTCATTTTACAGGTTGTTTGTGAGCAATCAAATGACTCAAAATACATAAAAAGCTTAGAAGAGCACATAGCACACACTGCATACTGTGTGTTAGCAATGATCCTAATAATTGTTGCTATATTTTATGTATATCAAAATGAAGTGGGAGGGTTAGTTTCATTCTGGCCTCCATCATAGGAGTCCCTCATGGATCTGAGGTTCTGGGTAAATGTTACGATTTTATTCTTCTCCCTTAATTTTGAGCTGGACCTTGAAGGGTGAATTGGGCTAAGTGGAGGGGTAAGAATGGCAGGTAAGACAAAGAGAATGTGCCCCCCAGGGCAGACATTTTCTAGGGTAGACATACACACTTTTGGGTATGAGACTTCAAGACCCTGAGACTGCTGTGTATCTCAGATAGCGCCTTGGATGGGGGACTGGGAAATGTTAGGGAACAAGAGTGGTTAAGAGAGCATTGGGCCAGATTATCAAACCCAGATTTGATTGAGTAGGACATAAAGCTGTGGGATATTTTTGAGCAGGGAAGTGGTGTGAAGAAAGGGTCATTTAAGTATTATTTAAGGTAGTTTAAGATAAAGAGATAACTTTATTGAATTAACAGAATGGGGCATATTTTGTTCTGGGAGCTCTTGCCCTAATCATTAAGTTTTATGCAGAAACCGTTGTTTCCTAGAAATTGAAGATTCTCTGGGGCAGTATAAAACCAGGACTTGAAACAAGTGACAAAATTAAAAATAAATCAAGGTACCATTAGAAAGAACAGACTCTAAAACGAGACAGATGCTTCCTGTCAGAGTGGTTTATCCCTGGGCAAATATGCAATCCTCTTTCTACCTCAGTATCCTCTTCTGTAAAAGGGAGTTAATTATACTTTGTCTTAGGTTAATATGACCCTCCAGTGACATTAACAAATGGGAAGCTAATCAGCCATGTCCTGGCACTCAATAGTTGCTTAATAAATAGAAGCGATCACCATCTTTGTTTTAATTTTGAACTTTCTGCTAAAGGAAAGTCACCTCCACTTCTCCCCCATAGACTTCAAGGGAAGTTGCCAGTGGAGGAGATCTGTGATTTCAGGTGCATTGGGCTCAGTTTGGAATGACATTGCAAGGTTAATGTAGGAGTCAGATGTCAGGTGTGTCTGTTACATCCAGGGAGATTGCATGTCTGGATGGTGGGGCTCTGTGGGTCAGGAACTGGGAAAGGAATTAACCTCTGAGTCCAACAAATTTTACTCAGCTGAAGGAGTTGTGTTTTATGAGGGACAGAAACCGTGTCCACATTTTCCACTGTCCTGGCACACAGGAGGTGTGCAGCGGATATCTCTTAGTTGGATGAATAAACCAAGAGAGTAAAAATGAAAAATCTAGAGTTAGAGTAACTTTTCCTTCAATTCTATAAATGTCATTTTTTGCACCCAATGCTGGGTGATAGAAGGGACAATAAGCTGAAAGTCAGGAGACTTACTTTTTAGTCCTGGTGCCACAGGCAAGTTGTTTCTTGTTTCTGAATTTGGTTTCCTCATTTGAAAAATGAGAGACTGGGCAGCTGTTCATTGTAGTACAACTCATTAAGCTGTGAAGGTAGCCCTTTCTGCCAAGCAGCATCCCCATTTTCATGATTTAAAGATTTTTTTAATAGTAAACTTGAACTTTTAAACAACTTCCTGCCAGCAGAGCACTCAAGGTTGAGGACAGCCTGAAGATTCTCTTAAACCAGATCTAGAGTCACACATTGTGAGTCTTAGGTTAGGAACCCACTGAAATGGAGTCTAAAATATGGTGTGTTTGTGTGTGTGTGCACGTGCGTGTGTGTACGTGCTGTGTGTATGAGAATGCCTCATGAATTTTTTTGCATAGAGGGTCTTTAGCCTATATTGGATTCCTTCAGAGGTCACAATCCCTCAGAGGTTGACTTGTAGAGAAGCTGAGTCTGGGATGGTCTGGGACCTAGGGGTCCTTTACAAGTAAGATCCCAGAGGTAGATAGAGACTGGGGTCTTGTCTCTATTGCCTGATTTTTCCTGTGATTTTAGCCCATGCTTTTCTGTTTTCTGGTACTAGTGATTCCCCACAGACACGCAGGGGGTTGCAGTGCTCCATAGTTCCACCTTGTGTTCCCATTTTTTCTGCTCCCACCCTTGGTGTTTTTTCTAATGAAAGCATTTTGCTTCCTTTCTCTTTCTCCTTGATGATTGGTTGCCCTGGGGACTCTGGCAGTTGGCCATGTTTACATCAGGTAAGATGCATTTTGTTTTACTTTGTCTTTCATCAGCTATGGTTGCACAAGACACCCCTAATCTCAGGAGACTACTGTCAGAAGCTGCAATCTCCCCTGTTTGTGGACTCATTTGCTTGTTTTACCCCCCTCAACCCTCTTTATACACCTGCCCAATGACAGGTACTTGCTGAAAACAAGGGGTCAGTATAGTACCTGGGATGGTCCTGATTCTGTTACTGATGGTGTTTGTGGCCTTAGCAGGCCACCTCTCTGGCTCACAGTTCCCTATCTATAGATTAGCTTGGATTTGATAGTGTGTGTGGTTTTTATTTTTGAGATTCTGCCTCTATAAAAAGAAGCTCCTAGAATATCAACTATTCCCCCTACCTGTAAAGGCCTTGAAAATGTTAGGAAGGGAGAAATTTTTTTGGTCTCAACAGAGAGTTTTTGTGTGAGGGGGGAAAAGTCTGTTTTCTCAGCTCTAGATTATTAGGAAAACCAGTCAGTTAAGTATTCACCAAGACCCAGGCACATGACCGAGACAGAGCAGGGCTTGGCATTCACAGCTGGCTGTGAATAATCACTGTGAGCTGTCTCCACAGTTGTTGGCAAAAGAGCTCCACACTAGTAGGTGGTTTAGGAATGTAGGGGGAGGACAGAAGTTCCAGAGCTCTAAAGTCTCAGAATCGAGGTGGGACAAAGAAGCAAAGGAAGGAAGAGAGGGGTTCCCACTACGTTTAGGGCTATGCATTCTGACCTCCAGCAGAACCTAATAAATTTATAAATTTATCTGCTGGAAATTTATAAAAAGCACATAACATAAGTTTTGAAGCTTTCAACAGTAGGATAAAGGAAGTGGGATATAAAATCATTAAATGCTGCTTTCTCCTTGACCCCTTGACAGCTCTAGGCTTGCAGTTCCTTCCTGTTGTGTTGCAGGGAGCCCCTAGAAGTAATGAAGCATGAGGAAGCCTGTTTAATTATGAGGTGTTTAAAAGCAATTTTGATTTCACCGCTAGTAAATATTTACTGAGTGCCAGGAGCAGGAATCAGAGAATTGGGTTCCTTGAAGTGTTCCATGCTGGTGTTGGTGTTTCCAGTTTGAGGCCCCTGACCCATGTTGTTTCGCTGTCTGTGATTGCTCTGTAGTGGGCTTAAACACCATTCGTGCATTTTTCTCTCCTGTTTGCAGTGGTTGGAGACCAGACCTAACAGACAAGTGTGTCCAGTTTGCAAAGCCGGCATCAGCCGAGATAAAGTGATCCCGCTCTATGGCAGGGGCAGCACTGGGCAGCAGGACCCCAGGTGAGGCCTTGGGGCACCTCTCACACCTACTCCTCCCTTTGGATATGAATTTACTTCCATTTAGCACCTTCTCACTTCACCCTCTACTTAGTGCTTACAGACCCTCAGTTTTGAGGCAATTGGGATCCAGATGGGAGTTCGTCAGGAAGGGAGGGAAGCCAAGTTGCTCCTCACTGGGCTATAATATGAATATCCACTTAGTGTCTCCCAGCGAGCAGGCAATGTGCTAGGCAGTGCACAAGATAGCACAGTTGTAAGTATGCAAAGTGCTGTGAAGGAGCAGCTTGGGAAGCAGGGTGTCTAGCAGGAGAGTCTGCAAGGAGGGGGGTTGCTGCAGCAGTGATATATAAAGTACAGAGGGAAGAGGGGACAGGAGGTCTGGGAGGCTTTGTGGAGTTTGGGGTGTGGATGGGTCTGTCATTCTACAAACACAAGTTCTGAGAGCCCTTCATGGTCTGCTCACACACGTGCACACGCTCACACACCCCTAGACTCTCCCAGCAGTGTCTCATACCGTCTCTTACCCCACCCCAGCATACCCTGTATCCACATATACTGGACTTCTCTTAAAGGAACTTAGCCTTTCACATTCATGAGCCTTCGTAATTGTTTTCCCTCTGCCTCTTCTGCCCTCCCCAGTCCTGCTCAACACCCTCCTCCGCTAATTTCAGTCCATCTTTAAGGAGCAGTCCTGAAGTTACCTCCTCCTTGAAGTGGCCCTTCTTCCTCACATCAGTTGCTCTCACCCATGCTTCCACCCTATGTGGTTGAGATCTCTGTTCAAGAAGTCCCTTCCCATGCTGTATTGTGATTGGTTGTGGCCCCCTTTAAACCATAAACACCTCAAGAGTAGAGTCCATCACAGTCTTAGTATTGGTAGTGTCCTGCCTAGTGCCTCACGGCTAACAAGCCCTCAGTCCAGTATGTTGAGGATGAGTGATAGAAGAGGCTAAGACCCAGAGGCAAAAAGCAAAGTGTATAGGGTACTTACCAAGGAATAGTGGGAAGTAAAGCTGAAGTTAATAGGGGCAGATAGAGAGATCCTGAATCTCAGCCCTCTATGCTGACAGGCCATTCCTGTTTCAGTTTGGATTTGGGATTTTTAACATTGGTGACCCCTATATTACACAGGTCCAGGGAAGGTGTCTGGCTAGCATTCATAACCAGTCTGGGTCAGGCTCCTGTGAGAGGAGTAGGCTCTAGTGCAACATGATGAACATCTTAGAATAAGCAGATTTTTCTTTCTGCTTTTCTGTATAGTTGACAAAACAGTCGCAAGTAGAATGAAGGTTAGGATTTGGTTTAATTTGGTATAAGTTCCTATGCTGTGCATAGTGGACCTGACCCTGAGCTCCCACCCCACTCGGAGCAGCTGAAAGCATTTTATAATTATTTATTTTATGATGTTTCTGTTTCAGAGAGAAGACCCCTCCCCGTCCTCAAGGACAGAGGCCAGAGCCAGAGAACAGAGGGGTGAGGAACATTCTAGGAGAAGCTTCTAGAAATGAGCTTATGGCTTTAGAAGTTTCCATCTTGGCCCTATACTTTTTCTCCTTGATTATAAAAGTAATGGAAAAATTGAAATACACAAAGGAAAGGAGGGGGAGTAAACTTACAATCACACCATCGAGAGATAACTACAGGAAATATTTTGGTCTATTTTTTTCTATTGTTCTGTACTTATATATACACACATGTAAATTTTATAGATCTATTTATATGCACGTATTTTATAGCTATATTGGGCATACATATATTTTTGTTTATTTTTAACAATACTTGGCTCCTGTTTCGTAGCTCTTTTTAAAAATTTCATTCATTCTGTATTAAGTGCCTTCAGTATGCTGGGCATTATTCTAGGCACTGGTGATACATCAGTGAACATAGCAAAGATTCCTGGCCTTACCAATTTATATCACAGAGAGGGAGACTTTTTTAATGACATTATCTTGAGATTTTACATGCCAGGCTGTTTAGTGTTGCATTGTATGAACTTGACATTATTTGATCCTTTGTTGGACATTTAACTGTTTTCTTTTTTTCATTTTAAAAATACTCTGATGAACTTATAGATACATTTTTGAGCAGGTTCATGGTTATTTTACTAGGATAAATTCTTAGAAAAATCACCAGCTCAAAATTGCTAATTTAAGTCAGATGTTAGTATTAAAATTTTCTTTTCTTTTTTTTTTTTAAGATTTTATTTATTTGACAGACAGAGATCACAAGTAGGCAGAGAAGAAGGCAGAGAGGAGGAAGCAGGCTCCCTGCTGAACAGAGAGCCCAACTTCGGGCTTGATCCCAGGACCCTGGGATCATGAGCTGAGCCGAAGGCAGAGGCTTTAACCCACTGAGCCACCCAGGAGCCCTAGTATTAAAATTTTCTTGTTAAAATATTGAAGAAATTGGGGCACCTGGGTGGCTCAGTGGATTAAGCCTCTGCCTTCAGCCTGGGTCGTGATCTCGGGGTCCTGGGATCAAGCCCCGCATTGGGCTCTCTGCTTGGCGGGGAGCCTGCTTTCCCCTCCCTCTCTGCCTGCCTCTCTGCCTACTTGTGATCTCTGTCTGTCAAATAAAAAAATAAAATCTTTAAAAAGTAAAATAAAATAAAATATTGAAGAAATTATAAAAGCAGAATATTTATCCACACTAACAAGTATATTTTCATTTCTCCAGATTAAAATATTAAAATTTTTGAGGGAAAATACCTATCTGTATCTTGTCTACATCCCTACATATTGTCCTGAGGATTCTTGAGACCATAGTGTTCAGTTTTGTCTGACAGTGTGGTCACAAGAGTTTTTCATTTCCCCACAAGAATTAAGAGCATGGGTTTTTTGGACCATATTGACAGGTTTTTTTGTTTTGTTTGTTTTTTTAAAGATTTTATTTATTTATTTGACAGAGATCACAAGTAGGCAGAGAGGCAGGCAGTGAGTGGGGGAGCAGGCTCTCTGCTGAGCAGAGAGCCCAGTATGGGGCTCCATCCCTTGATCCTGAGATCATGATTTGATCTGAAGGCAGAAGCTTAACCCACTGAGCCACCCAGGTGCCCCAGGATCATATTGACAGTTGACAGTTTTTTATCTAAACGCTATTGACATATTGACAGTTTTTGGTCTAAACGCTACCCCCTTGACTACGAGGTGGCATCACTTTAACTTTCACAGACTCTTGTTTCTCAACAGAGAGCATCAGCTCCTAACCTCAGGAAGCCAGAGGTCCTAGTGCATAGCTGTAGCACATACAAGTACCTGCAGCCACCAGTGATGCTTTTTGCCTACATTTTCCCAGGAACATAAACCCCGCATATGTGAGGGCTTGTGGAATTGTGTAGAAGTTGCTAAAAGGGAGGCCATAGGGTCAGTCCTCGGGATTACTCTCAGTGAAGTGGTAGTTCGTGATGAAACAGTTGCACCTTCCTGGGTAAGGCAGCCTCGGTCCCAGGAGCCCTCAAATTCAACCATGCTGGGTCTGAATAGGACCATCTGCACTGAGGAGATGGAAAACTGGTTGTTTTTCTTCTGTCTAGGCTTACCCTCTTGTTACATCTGTTACTAGGCTTTATGTAGGTAGTGCCACCCAGCAAGATGTTTGGAGCTGGATGCCAGGCTGCTTGGTATGGCATAGGGAACAGCCACTTTCATGACTTGCAGAAGACTCATAAGTGAAAGCCAACCAGCTCTTTGTGGAGCGCAGTTGACCCAATACATTTTCTACTTATTATTTTTTAATCATTTGCTCTAAAGATCTACTTAGGTATGTGGGGGAGGAAAGAGGATTTAATAAGATGTGCACAGTAATTAAGAGCATGGGTTTTCAGATCATACTGACCTAGTTTCTGGTCTAAACTCTACCCCCTCTACTATCTGCAACCTTGGTCAAGATAGAAAACAGGTTACTTTTTCACAGTGTTAGAAGTCTTTTCATATGAAAGATGATGTGGTATAGGGGAAAGTTGAGGGTGGGAGAAGGAAGGGGAAAGCTGAGGATAAGACACCATGAGGATGGTGAATAAGGAGACCTCTGACTTTTTACGTCAATTATTCCTCTAATGTGTAAGTTTCTTATAACAAGCATATATATGAAAATAATCAGAAAAAAATAGTCTTATGTTTTTTAAATTCTTAAAAATATTAAAACTGAGGGAGAATACCTGTTTATATCTTGTTCCCATACCTTCATGTTGGCATGTACTTGTGACCATAGTGTTCAGTTTTGTCTGTTAGCTTGGTCACTGGAATTTTTCTGTGTTGCCGCATAGTTAGCATGATGGTCTTTAGAGAGTGTGTATCAAGATTTTGATCATGACCTCCATCGTTGGTTAATTAGGGTTCCACTTTTTTTTTTGCTATTATCAGCAATGTGCCGCTTGTTCCAATGTTCCCTTGTAATTAGGTATAGGGGTTGTTGCCAGTTTTGCTTGTTATATTTCATATATATATGCAATATATATATAAGATGCATGTTATTAAAGCATGTAGAAAATTTTATTGACTAGGGTGGGGTTCTGGGAAAAAACGTGGTGCTCTAAGAACCCTAACTTGCACCAGCAGATTGTTTTACTTTGGGCCAGAGCCAGTCCTTTCTGGCATTCACAATTCCTTAGCTGGAACCCCTTGCAGGCCAGGAGGGCAGAGGGACCACCAGGGTTCCTCTGCCTAGCAGTCTAAATGGGAGGAGAAAATTTCCCCCTTGGAAACAGGTGGCAGAGGGTAGGGAGGAGAGGCAGATGCCACCTGTGGGTGACATGTTTGACAGGTTGCTTATTCTGAATTGCATTTCTTCCATACAGGGATTTCAAGGATTTGGATTTGGAGATGGTGGCTTCCAGATGTCTTTTGGAATTGGGGCATTTCCTTTTGGGATATTTGCCACAGCATTTAACATAAATGATGGGCGGCCTCCTCCAGGTGAGACCCTACTTCCTTGATAATTCTGCTTGAAGGCTGTTTGGAATTCATTAGTATGCAGATTACAGATAACTGTCACTGCTTGATCAATCAGCCTTTTCAAAATGTGAACTCTTCGGATTACTGGTAGTCATGATAATGTATATTGCCCACTTACTAAATATTAGGCATGTTCAAAGTGCTTGTCATCACAAATGCAGGGGATCCTCACCATAAGCCTGTGGGATGAGTGTTTGTTTAGCTCTGTTTTACAATCAGAAAATGCTCAGTATGTTTCCCAAGACCTACTCTGTGCCTATAAGTTGAAAAAGAATAAAGTGATACCTAGGATACCTAGCTAAAGAAAAGCCTAGTCCTGTGCATGTCCCATTTAGGGACAGAAAGGAGTGAGGCAACCCACCAGGATTCAAGGCCTTTCTATTCTGTGGTATCTCTGTCCAGCTTCCCTCAGGATACATGTGGAGCTTGGGACCAGCCCCCTTTCTCCCTTTCTAGGTCTGTTACCTGCTACTACCTTTCTCTCCAGCCAGTTTAAAGGTGCCAGCTGCACCTTGCTGGGCCGCAAGGTGGGTGTTCTGTATTTTGTCTCAATCTGGCACCTGGGCCAAGATCCTTACCATGGAGTCTGCAGAGGTGCTGAGGTCATTTGAGCTCTACTTGCACTCATTGGAACCTCCTGTGTGCTGGGCACAATGTGTGGTGTGGAAGGGATCAGTGTGTGGTTCCTGGTCAGGAGCTTGTGCTCTTAGGAACAGAAACCTATTTCTGGGTCATCCCAGGAATTTTCCTCACCCCCTATCCTGGTGCTTGGCACATTGCAGGCAATCAGTGCAAGTCTTTGTTGACTGACACCCTGCATGAATCATCAGAGCACCTACCTGGGGAGTAGTACAGCCCCAGGAGATCTTGGAATGCCCTTCTTTACTTCCTCTACCTCAAAGGTTTCTCCTTCCTTTATGCATTTTCCTCAAAGGAGACCCCAAAGGGCAGGGTGTGCTCTGCCCTGAAGGAGGGACAGGGCACTATGGAGGCAGCAAGAACCCTTGGCAGCTTGCTTCCCTTCTTGCTTCAGGGCACACCCTGGGTTCCTTAGGTAAAGAGAGTTCTGCAGTCGGGTGGACTCTGGATCCCTTTATCTCCTTGCCAGGATCACAGTTTTCCTTTGTCACATTTGATAAAACTTGCCCATTCTGGATATAGATTTCTTACTCTCCTTTCCCCAATGTCTGGACAGCTACATAGTAGCTTTTCTCAAAGCAGGGAGGAGTGGAAGCCTAGCTCTGCCCCTAGTTTGCTGTGTGATAGGCAAGACAAGTCATTTTACTTGTCTGGGCTCTATTTCCCCTCCTCTGGAAAAGGAAGACACTCTATGTGGAGCTCCCTGTAAGGAGATGAAGATTGATGCTGTCAACTTCTGGCCCAGTTGGGTAGCAGTGTGCACAGCTGCAGCGTTCTGACAGCCTCTCTTTTCCCTCCTGTCTCTGCAGCTGTCCCTGGAACACCCCAGTATGTGGATGAGCAGTTCCTGTCACGCCTCTTCCTGTTTGTGGCCCTAGTGATCATGTTCTGGCTCCTGATTGCCTAATGCTGGGCTCCCAGCCTACATCCATGGCAGGGCCTCTGGACTGGTGACATGCCACACCCACTCTCGATGTTTGGCTTCCTGGCTAATCCTGACCCCTGGAATCGGTGGCGTCAGTAACACATCAAGGAGTTTTGCTTCTCCATCAGAGCGTAGGGACTCAAGACCAGTTGTCAAGGACTTCAGAGTATGGCCACTGCTGTAAACACCCTGCTATAACCTCAGTCCTTGGCATTGAATCATCTCTCATGAGTTACACCCTCCAGTCCTGTTCCAGCCAGCTCAGCAGGTCCTGACTCTGCACAAGGAAGAGGCAGGAAGAGAGAAACTGTCAGTACAATTTCACCTGAGTTTGATACTAGGAAAACAAAGGGATGAACCAAATAGAAACTTTGTTTCATCTCTTTAAATACCCCTTGGTAAGTGGCCTCCCCAAATCAGTGGACTCCTCATATAGAGGTTCCCCCCCATATTCCACTGCTCCTCTGCCCTATCTCCTCCTCCTGAGTAGAAATGCAAGAAATTGCTGTTCTGTGACGATCATAATTGCAGCAGCTAAAGCTGGACTCATTTCATGAATTAATCAGAGATCCAAAGATCTTGTATTGGCTCTGAGCCATGCCCAGTCTCTTTGGCTCCAGAGAGTGGCTTGAATGATCTCCTGGTTTCTTGGAGTAGATTATCCCCAGAGACATGTGGCTTTAGTCACAGATTTCCCATCATCTTTCCCTCCCAAAGTATGCACATCTGCCAGAGGACCCACAGTGGAGACTACTGTTGAAGCTGGGACCGACTGCTGCTCATTAGGAAAGACCTGCCAGTGGGACTCTGGTGGGATTTGGAGCTCTGCTGCAGGAACAGCTGAACAAGCAGCCCTGTCCCCAAGGCTACAGAAGCTCTGGGTGCATCCAGTGGAATGCTTTGTCAAGTCAGCTCAGCTGCATGTTGAAGACCATCTTCCCAGAAGCCAGATTGTCCTTTATGAAGGAGGCAGGAATGGGGAGACCCACATGTGACCCTGGTTTTGGTATGGTTTGGGTGGATACCCCTGAAAACTCCTTGCATGTGTGCTAAAGCCAGAGAAGCATGAAACTGCGGAGCAGGCAACTCCTGATGATTTCTAAAGCCAAGCAGCAGGGCTTAAGAAGCTTGGCATGATGATATGGTGTGGTCTTCCCCAGGAAATTTCCAGGGGGAATCACCTTCCCAAGCCCTTGACTTGTTTTTTTCCATTTCATAATTTTTTTCCTCAGAATCTGATTGAGGGAGTGATTCCAGGCAGGAGGACAGTTTAATTGTAGAATGGTTTGTGCTCTGCTGGTGGGACCACTTCCTAGAAATCCAGTCTCTTCCAGGAGATTCCAGGGATGGAGGGAGATGGACATCTTTTGGAGGTCTCTCTATCACTTTTTCATCCGCAGTGCTCCTGGCTCACCTGCAGCCAGAGCCAACAAGTGGTAGAAAGCCCCATCTAATGGTTTTTTCCAGAGGTGGCTCTGCATAGCATGTGGAAACCAAGACCTTGAGGAAGATGAGAGAGGTCCTCCTGTCCTCTCCACAGGCCCCACCCCTTCCCCTCCGTACCTGTCAGTACCAGATTTCAGTGTTTAATCAGACAAAATGTAAGTATTGAATAGGTGGTTGGTTTGCCAAATTCATTTGGTAGGACTAAGCCACCAGCTTTACAGTGTCCCTGATGGATTTTAAACCTTGGGATACCCACCTACGAGTGCTTTTTTTTCCTCTTTAATCACCTCCTGGAAATCCCCAAAGTTGGGAAAGTTGCGGGGAGGGAGATGTCCTGAATTCTCAGCACAAGTGAATTGGTGGGATCTCTCAGTCTGGTAGCCCCACCTAGTGGTGAGAGAGAGGACTTCCGTCAGATGGGCCCAACCAGAAATGGGTTTCCAGAAAGAAGAAAGGTTAAAAAAGAAGGGTTGTGGATAGGAAGAGAAATCACTTGGACTCTAACAAAGTAGTAAGAGAAGTCCACCAGCAAAGGCATCCCAGGAACCTGTAAGCAAAGCCAGGTTTGTCATGTGCCCTTTGATTTTGAACTTTCTAGGTCCCCACTCAGCTTCTATTGGGAGCTAAAGCAGGAGAGCCAACTTGGGACTGCTGGCCCAGCCCCAACAGGAAACCCCCTTCCCACCACCCCTCTGCAGGTTCACCACCTTGCCCTTCTACCAAGGCGGTTTTCCTTTCTTTTGTGTGTTGTCTATGTTCTTGGCCTCCACCCCCTTCTGCCACCTTTGTGGATTAGGACCAGGTCCCACCCACAGTCAGAAAATGACGCCATGTACAGTGGCACACCTTGACCAGTCACTAATTTTCACTGTTGTGAAAGTGATTTGATTTAGAATTAAACAAATGGTTTTACATTACTGTGAGTTGTGGACTTGTCTGTGTAAGGGGATGGGGTGGGGCATGGATGGGATGGGGAGTAGTCACACTGGTCCGGCCTCTGAGAAACAGCCCTGCGTACATGAGAATGTCACATTGAGGAGCAAAGGCTCAGGTAGCCATCGATAATTAGAGATGAGAAGTGCTTCATACACAGCCCTGCCCAAGGTGTGACCCATCTGACGGTCCTGGTCCTGACAAGTGTATGGAATTCCTAAGCTTGCAGGCTGCCATGATGGAGCTTAGCTTGTGGATAGTCAGAACGTTGAGGACAATGTGAGGTTATTCAGTGTCTGCATCTCCACGTGTTCTGCAAGGGGGCAGGTGGGCCCCTGGCCAAGCCCTCTATCTAGAGCAGTGGCTGTGCAATTTCCTGAGGTTCCTCAGTAGCACAGTATGAGATGGAAAATAGGTTACAAACCTGGCCTGCCTCAGGCTCCCCAGCACACCAGAGCTGTTGGTCACCCTTTGAAAAGGTCTCTTTTCTCCTTCTCTTCCACTTTGACCTAAGAGTTATCAAGTTGAATAGCACCAAGATTGGTAGGAAATGCGAAGGTGAGGGATTTCCAAGAACTTCTGAGCCCGATAAGGAATGGAAAACAAAACCTACACTGAAGTAGAGCAGGACAGTTAAGCCTCTATGTACCAATGAGCCAACCCCAATAATCATCAACTTGTGTCCAATCCTGTTTCATCCCCACCCTCACACTGCTTCCTCTCTCCTGCCTGGACTATTTTGAAGGGAATCCTAGTCCTATGCCATCTATTAGATATTTTATTTTTTCATTAAGTATTTTAAATACGCATCTCAGTGGTAAGGATTTTTTTAAAACATAACCAAAATACTATTTAATGTACCTTAAAAAATTAACAATAATTCCTAAATGTCATCATATATCTAATCATTGCTCAAGTCTTCCTAGTTGTCTCAACTTTTTTGTTCAGTTTGCTTGCACTGAGATCCAAATCAGATCCATACCCTGGTATCAGATTTCTCTTCAGTCTCTCTTACAGCCATACGTTCCCTCTTTTCTTTTTCTTGCAGTTTATCTGTTAAAGAAACCAGTTCATTTGTTCTGTTGATTTTTCCCACAGCTTCAGTGTTTTGCTACATGTATCACTGGTGTTAAGAAGCTCCTCCTCCTCTTATATTTCCTATAAATTGGTTGTTAGATCCAGAAGCTTGACCAGATTCAGGCTTGTTTTTTGGTATAACTATGTCATAAATGGTAGTGTATACTTCTTGTTGCATCATTTCAGGAAGCACATAATGCCTGGTAGTCCCTCTTTGTGATGTTAACAGCCTGTCCTGACCATTGTCTAAAAATAGCACTGTCCAACAGAATTTTCTGCCATGATGGAGATGTTCTCTATCTGCATTGTCCAACACAGTAACCACTAGGCACAAGTAGCTAGCAAGCACATGAAACATGGACAGTGGACTGAGGAACTTAATTTTCAGTTCTATTTCATTTTAACTTAAATAGCCCCTTGTGGCTAATGGGGCTATCAGTGTGGATTTTGATTAATTTACAGGGTTTGTAAAATTACATAATTGAAAATAATGTGTTAAGCATTTAGAGACGAGTGCATTTCTGGGTAGAGTAGGGCAATAAAATTACAGAGAACATGGAGGGGTTATAGGAATGGCAGAGTGGTACAAGGGCAGAATGTATTCAGGAAAAAGAGTTCTGGAGTGAAGAAAGTAGGGAGAGAAGGCTGCAAAGTGAGATGTAGTTCACTCATGAGGGTCTGGTTTGGCCTTTATTTTGTTGGCAACAAGGAGCTATTGAAGGTTTTTGAGAGGCAGAGTCTGAACCTTAAGGTGGTTTTCAAAGTGTCCAGGTTCTCATTTCTATAGGTCCAAAGAGTTGACTGTGAATCCGTCAGCAGGATCTGGCCTCAGGGACTGACCAAACTATGGTCAGGTAATCAAACTGAACTGGTGACTTGGGCACTAGAAACCCCCATCTTCTCCCTACCCAGGACTTTTCTGTCCTCCAGAAGTTCCCCTCAAGTTCACAAGTGATTTGGGACTATTCTCTGGATCTATATTGGAACGCTATCTCTTGGTTGTACCATTTCTACAGATTACTTTCTTTCTTTACATTTCAATTTGTGTTTCTCAAAAAATACCTAAATTTACTTGGAGGGAACTAGGGGGAGTTGGTTATCCCTGCATTCACTGTTAGGGAACACCTGGAGGCTGGAGGTGGGAAGGAAGTGGAATGAGAAAGTTAGGAGGGAGAAGAGACAGACCTGTGTTGCTATGGGGCAGAGAAAGGGGCCAAACAGGGGTCTTGATTCCCAGGCTGTCAGTGCCTGTGAGCCTGGGAACACAGCATGACGTCTTTGCATGTATAGGATGAATAAAATCCCTGCTTTCTTTATGCTAGCCACAGGTGGCTTGTCAGGGTCCCCTGGAACCCTGTCACTTTAATTCAACACAATCCCGTGGCTGTTATAATCAGAGATTTCCTCAAACTGTAAAAACCAACCACTGGAGGTTCCCAGGAATTAAAGGAAGTCAGGCACATCCCCTCCTCAGCACTTTCTCCCCCTCAGCACTTTCTCCACACTCAGGACTTCAGGAGCCACCTGCCACACCCAGAGGAGAACCAACTGACCTGCATCCGGTTTGGATTATAGAGGGCAGGAAGAAAGAGAATTGTGCTCACCTTTGCTTACTCAAGTGCTGGAACTAGATACAGCAGGATTGAACTTTGTCCTTGGTAGGGGCATCATGATCCATTTCCTTGAGCCCCATCCCTGCCTCTTCCTGGTCATTTGGACACTTTTCCCATGACCTAAATCCAGTTAGAGGAAATGACAGCTGCCAAACATCCAGTACCAGAGAATTAGATGGGAGGGACTGCAGGTCCAGCTGATGTAGTCCATCCTTTGTCACGTGGAAGACCCCAATTCCTTACTAAGCCCAATGAAGGGAAGTGGTTCTCAAGATCCCTCAGCCAGCTAACAGCTGCCAGGAACCAGTCTGCTGTTCTAACTCCTTTTCCACTGCTCTCTCCACAAAGAGGATCCAGCAGGGCAAATCCACTCCACAAGTGTTTCCTTTGGTCTACATGGCTTAAAAAATTTCCAAATATTACCAACATTTAAAAAGTGGGAAAATTCACCTAAATACCTGGAGTTTTGGCTTATCTTGAAAAACTGGAAGATCTGGTGTGCTGGATTCATTTATATACCTATTTGGCTTCAAGAAGGATCTGCCCCTGGAATGCTGGTTGCACCACCTTCATACCAAATTTGACCTAGAGATTGTCTACTGGGTGCCAGTTTACTCATAGTGGCGCAGATAAGTGGCTTCTCTGAGCTGGAAGCTTCTAAGAAAAGTCCACCCTCAGTCTCCTAAGTTTTGTGGGGTATCTTCTCCATATTCATTTTTTTAGTTTTTTATTTTTAAGCCATCTCTACACCCAACGTGGGGTTTCAAATTTACAACCCTGAGATCAAGAGTCACATGCTCTACTGACTCAGCCAGTCGGGCATCCCTTCATACATATTCTTGACCCCAAACACTGTACTGGAAAGAGCTTTTGCCTGGGAGTTAGGAGACCTGGATTCCTATCTCACTTCTGCTTCTAATGAGCTGAGTCAAACTTGTTCCCTCGGGTCCTAGCCTGCCCGCATCTGTAAAATGGGCTGAAGGTCCTCTGATGAGACCTCCAGGGAGTCCTGAGGACTCTCCTGAGGAGCCAGCTCAGGGCCTCTGACAATCACCTTTACCAGCTCCGCGCGGGTCGCAGTAGGAGGCGTCAGGGTCCCCACAGAGCCCGAGCCAGGGGGCGGGGCCTGGCCCCGGGGGCGGGGCGGGGCGGGGTGTCGGCGGGCGGACCCCGGTGCCAGGTGCGGTTTGGTCCTCCCCGGGCGCCGTAGGC